AAAAAAATGAAGCCTTGTCTTAGACTGAACAAGATAATCAAGCTGATGAAAAAATTAAGAAGAATTTACTTATTCATTCTTTCATTCACTCAACAAATATGTACCTAGCACCCTGTACGTAGCTGGCATTTCCATAAGTAAAATAAGAACAAAGTACCTTCCTCATAAGCTTTAATGTAGTTGCTAGGTTGGGAAAAGGGAGACAGTAAAACAAACAAATACATAATATATCAGGGTGCTAAAATATATAAAAGAAAAAAGATGCAGGGTAAGGAACTAAATGGTGTTGGTAAGGAGGGCAGGGGAGGTCTTTTTAAGATGATATTTGAATAGACATCTGAAAGAACTGAGAGAGAGGGAATCAGAAATATATCTCATGGAAGCACATTCCAGGCACAGGACAATGAGTTCAGGATTGGAGGTAGGATCATGTTTGGTACATCCAAGCTATAGCAAGAAGCAAGCAAGCGTTATTGTAACAAAGTGAGAGAGGAAAAGAGGATTAGGAGGTAAAGTCAGGAAGTCATCAGAATCTTGGAAGCCATGTAAAATAAAGATGTGGCCTTCAATTTGAGATAGATGAAAAACATGTAGAGTTCTGAGGGGAGGAGTGATAGAACCTGAGACACATTTTTAAAAAGTGAGCCTGGCTACACTTTGAGGTAGAGAAGCCAGTTTAAGAGCCATTCAAGAGTTCAAGCAAAAAATGGCGTGGACCACTCCATGGCAGTGGAGGTGGTAAGCTGACTTGTGGAATGTGAGAGAAACAGAAATCAAGGATGTCACCAAAGTGTGACCCTGGACTACTGGAAGTATGGCTGATCACAAAGTGAGATGAGGAAGAGTATTAAAGAAGCAACTTTGAGGGAGAAAAGTGGACATTTGGTTTTGAATACATTAGGGTTTTGCCTTTAAACATACAGTGGATATGCCAAAGAGGCAGTCTGCTCTGTTCTCTGGAGATCAGGGAAGAGGTCAGGACTGCAATTGTTAGCATACAAGTGGTATTTAAGACCCAAGACTGCATTAGTCCTATATATATATATATATATATATATAGAAAAGAAAGTTCAGGTATAACTTGTTTTGAGTTTCAGTTTTAAGGGTTGTTCCTCCTGTCTCTTCAGTTGACAGTTTTTCTCCTCTCTACTGGACCATTGCATGTGCATATCCATACATGTTGTAATACCTCTTGTCTTCTATTTCTCATTCTCCTTTATAGCAAAAATCCTTGTAAGAGTTGTCCATTCTTTCTGTCTGCAATACTCCTCACTTGTGATTCCACTGTGATAAAATAATTGATGTTTGTCTGGGGAAGTAGATGTACTCAGGCTGTTTTTTTTTCTTTTTCATATACATGCATACCACAAAGCTGTTACATAGGCATAGCTTTAAGAGAACTATTTTTAATTCAGCCATAACAGACTCACTGAAAAGTAAATGGTTCAAACTCTCTTTATCTTTGCTTCTTCCCTCACTTCTGCATTTCTTCCCTTAAACATAGTAAACATTTCTATAGCCCGAAATTTCAGCTAAAAAAATCATGCTGTGAAACAAATGATAGTGTTTCTCCTCCAGTAGTACTTTGATTTACTGAAATATTTTGGGATAAAATGATATGAAGTTTGCTTCAAAATAATCTTATTGGGGGAAGGAGATGAACTGAGTAGAAGAGATGAAAGAAGGAAGCTGGCCCTGAGTTGATAGTTGATGAAGCCTGGTGATAGGCATATGGGCATTCCTTATACCATTCTCTCTGCTTCTGTATGTGTTTGAAAATTTCCAAATATGAAGTATGAAATGAAAAGAAACCTACTGTCAGTACTGCACTTAATCCAAAAATCCATTACAATGGTGAAATTTTAGATCATTTGTTAACAGGTGATGGAGCTATTTGGGGGCACAGGAATTTTCCCAAGTCATAATCAGTTTTTTTGTTTGTTTGTTTCTTATACAGCATAAAAACTTTTCATAGACAGCACAAGATTTTTTTTTTTCTCAGAAAGTGTCTTAGTCGCATTAAGATTGAATTAATTTGAATGTTTATTGTGCAAATAATTTGGAAGACTAGACTTTTAAAAATGAAGCCTTGATTCTCTCTTTTTGTTTCTATTTTATTTTATTTATTTTAATTTTATTTTTTATGTTTTATTTTGTTAAATTTACATCCAAAGTAGCATATAGTGCAACAATCTTAAATATCCTCTTACTTCAGGTAAGCATAAAGAAATTTAAGAACACCTGTGATATGAAATATGTTCTAAGGTAAAATAATATTACAGTTACAAAATAATGCTATCCAGTTGATTGTTATTTAAAAGAATAGTTGATTATGCACCGAAGGTAAAATTTCATTGCAATAATAGTTAACACCTTTTTTTTTTTTAAAGAAAATACTTTCTGAAATTTGTCACTCATATTGCCATATAAAAATTTAGGCAAAATAGATTTTTAACCTTGCAAAGTGAGCAAATGTAGAAACAACAGTGTTGCTACATTAACTCTTCAAATATTAACTACTAAGTATTCTTTAGTGTTTTCCGGTTACTCATTAACCATTTTATTCTGTTATTGTTTCTCCAATTGTCGGTGATTTCCACCAGGGAAAGTTGAAAAACATTTTTGTAGATTAGAAAAATGGTCAGGTTTTATTAACAACATCCCCTTGCTCACCATATAGTCATTATTAAAAGTCCACTATGTATTTGGGGCCTATAAACCCTACTTCAAAAATTAAACCCAAAGTTATGTTGTTGTGCAGTTTATGGTTCCTAGCGTATGCCTTTATTGCCCTAAACGTTTCCTTGGTGTAAACTACTGAACAAGGGAACAAGATTTCTTTTGTAACTGATACCTAAATTTCTGTTCTGCTTTAAGCATCTAATTTGCACTGTGAAGACATATAATTTGAGACTTGTATCTCTATCATGGAAGTACAACAGTTTATGCTGATCTCTAATTTTCTGAGTTGTACTGGCTATAATTTAAATTTTTTGCATGATTTTAACTGCAATGCCAACCAGTATACATCAGAAACCTTTGTATATTGACAGAGACTGGGAAAAGGATGTCTTGTTCTGATTTCAGATAAGCATTCCCTTTTCACAACTGCAGGTGCAAGGGAGCCCATTCATAGCATTTGCTTCAAACCAGTTATAGTCACTGGATGAAAATACAATGCTATTACATGAGAACTTGACTGATCTTTACAAGCACATGAAAAAAAAGTTAATGTTTATTCATTTTTGAGAGACAAAGACAGAGTGCAAGCGGGGGAAGAGCAGAGAGAGAGAGGGACAAAGAATCTGAAGAAAACTCCAGGCTTTGAGCTGTCAGCACAGAGGCGGATGTGAGGCTCGAACCCAGGAACCATGAGATCATGACCTGAGTTGAAGTCGGACACTTAGCCGACTGAGCTACCCAGGCGCCCATGAATATTTTTAAAGTATTGTTATTAGTAGTAAATTCTAGAGGCAAGTAGCACTTTTTTCTTTGTCAATGTATTTGGGACAAAATATACTCTGTTGACACAGTCTTGGTCATTTTACTATTGAGTGTGTGTGTGTGTGTGTGTGTGTGTGTGTGTTTACTAAATCTAGAAAAATACTTTGTCACTTATTAACAGAAGATGGAATTATACTTGGTGGAAAATCTGTTGCAGTTAATGGATGTTCCACTGAAGAGATAATTGACAATGTTGCTATTTCCTTTGCTTTAAATTTCACTTATTTTGAAATAAACATATAAACCAAAATATAACTACAAGATAAAAATTTACTCTAATTACTCTCATTCACATAACTGGGTAAATCTCTTTTTGAAACAAATATTGTTTCAAATGAGTGAAACTAGCTGGATGTTTCCATTATAAATTCTAACGTATAAGGTTATGACTTGATCATTTTTATAAGCTTCAGGTGGAAACATGGCACATCAATTCAAAGTATAAGAGAAAATTTTAGTCTACAAAACAATTACAACCCTACTTTAACAGCAGAGGTCAGAGAAAGGCTCTAACAGAATTTAAAGGCTTGATGACCAAAAGTGTTTGGCCTATATTTAAAACCAAGAAGAACTCATCCCAAATTGATGATTAGTACTATTACTTACTGTATGTTTTACTGTTTGCCAACAATCCAGTACAGCCACCTTAAATTTGCATGTAATTCAAAAGTGCCACACCTTTTCATACACTATTCGACTTGAGCATTCCTTGTGATTTAGGGAGGGAGGTACTGTCCTCACTTGTAAAATAAGGACAATATACTTTATAAAGAAGTATCCTTTCCAAATCAAGACAATTCTGATAGAGGTGGCTTGCCTGGATTAAATGGTGTCAATCCTGGTTTAAATTTCTGTCTCTGTGTTTCAGTCTCAGGGGCTGATCTCACTGAGGGATCAATCAGCTAGGACTTTTTTTTTTGTTTGTTTAAGCTGAAAAAAAAATGGTGACTTAAAGAATATTGGTAGTGTATTTAATTCATTCAGGCTGAGCACTATGATAGAAGCAACTTGTATGCAGCCATCTTCTCATGGACTCAAAACCAGAAAACTCACTCCCATTATACCAATGTATCCTCAGCCTTGAATCAAATGCAAGTTAGTGGTTAGTGGATCCACATGCAGACATATGGGGGGCATCTTCAAAGATGACTTAAAGAAGAATGCCTTCAAGGATGGAGCAGAACCCCTAAAGTGACTTATGTAAATATGGCCTTCCACTCGTCCAAACTTACATTCTATTACTGCTTGCCCCAAACCCGGAGCAACACACAGAGTCTCCTCGTGTAATTAGTTATTGCTGTCACTCCGGGGCGGAAACACTTCACACCTGGCCTCCCTCAGGCCGCCTGAAGGGAGGACGCTGCCACGCACCGCCCTTCTGAAGTTCTTAGAGCAAGGAGGCTGACACTGGGCCACTTACCTGGCCGGGATATGCTTCGTCACAGCCCAAGACCTTTGGGAAAGAGAAGAAAACAAAAGAAAACAAAACAACTTACCACTCTGGCCCAGTCCAAGAACAACTAAAAACACCCAGGCCGCCCGAAGGAATGGGGCAGGACCTGGCCGGCAGTTTTGCAGGCAGACAAATGCGGCAGTAAAGAAAGCCAGGGCGGAGCGGCACATAATGCAAAGCAGCCCGCACAGCGCCCGCCGCCTGGCTGCTATCCGGATGCGCGCTGGCGACTCACGGGCGCACCTCGGGGCCCGCCGGCCAAGTGTCGCTAAGACGTTTCCCGAAGGCCCAGCAGGCGGACCCCGCGGCTCGTAGCAAGCGGTGCAGGTATGCTGGCCCCGGCACCGCTTGGCATCTCAGGGCCCCCCCGGCCCTGCCAGCTCTGCTCCGCGGTCCCGCGATCTCCGCGAGAAGCACCTCCTCTGACGGTCAGTGGCCCGGGGCGGCGACGCGAGCGAAGGCTCCGCAGCCCGCTCTGGGACAAAGAAAAGAGCTTTTGTTTCTCTCCAGCCGATGGGGCTTCTGCTGCATAAATCAGCTTAGTGAACAGCCAAACAGAATCAAACCCAAACAAAGCCCGAAGCCTGGGGGGAAAAACCAGCCTAAAGTACTATCACTGGGTGATGCTGCATCTGTGGGAGGGGACGCCGGCGAGGCCGAGGGGGAAAAAAGTCGATGGCGCATCAATCAGCGCGAGCTTCTTCCACAGGTGGGCAGGGAGGCCAACTCCACTTAGTTACAGCTTTGCAGCCTCGTCAGCTGAGCGGCGGGCAAAGTCAGAACGGCAGCGTCCGGGCTGGCGAGGGAGGAAGCTCGGGGTGCCAGTAGCTGGGGGAGCCGGCTCCGGCAGCACCCTAGAAGCCCCCGCCGGCGCCCGCGGACACAGAGCGAGGCATAGCAGCTCCCCGCTTCGCCGTGAGTGGAGCGCACGGCCTCTAGCACAGGAGAGGAGGTTCCGCGAGGGTGCAGTAGCCTAGCCTTGCGGGGCGGGAGCTTCGTACCCTCGTCCTTCTGGCCCCGGTGTGCGGTTCAGGCGTCCCACCGTCCAGAACCCGGGCAGCTGGCGCACTCCGGGGTACACCCCGCGAGCAGGCGAGGGAAGCGAGGCTGGCGAGGGGCGGGGGAGCAGTGGTCCCGCTCCGGCCCCCGGGTTGGGGGGGCTCCCGAAGTGCTGATAGCTGGGCGCGCTCGGGGCCGTGAGTTGCTAGGAAACCGCCCCACGCTACCCGGCGCCTCGCCCCGGCCGCCTGCAGGCGCAGCGGCGGCTCCGGCGGCAGCAGCAGCAACAGCTCCGAGCAGCGTGGGCGGGACATTGGTGAGGCATGAAGTCACCGCGGCCCACACTCGCTCTTTGTTTTGCTCACTCCAGCTCTTTTTCTCCCCCTTGGCTCTGATAGTTGCCATTCCCATCGTTCACCAGAGCTCCTGATGCGTAGCTGCGCAACGGGAATCGCTCGCCCTGTTTCCTCTCCCCCTCCTCGCCGAATGCCTACACCCCAACGCTCCCCTAGCCGGCGTGGAGACTTGATAAGTACTAATGGCAGCTGCGCGCAGATCCCAGCCTCTCACCCGGGCACTCTGCGCTTCTTTGTTCCGAAATACTCACTGCCCGGCAGCTGCAGCGTACCAAGTGGAACACAGGGGCCTCTCCCCGCCCCCAACACCCTCTGTTCCGCGGGTGCGCACTGCCAACTTCGCTTGCAGATTTAGGAGCTCACTATTCACCCCACCCCAAGACCATCCGGCATCTTCCCAACACTTCGAATTGGGCCAGTCCGCAGAGGCTGTACCCGGAGCTGCTAGCTGAAATTTCTCGCTCCTTCTCGCGGAGCCTCAGTCCTTAGCTGTCCAGCCTTGCTCTTCCCAGGGTCTGGTGGTGGCTCTGGGTTTTTGCTAGTTACAGTGAGTCTTTTGACCTTAAGCGTCACCTTTCAAATAAACGGAACAAAGAAGTTATGAAGTGCGGCGAACGAAGCAGGAGAGAGAAGCTAAGGAGATGGTGAGAGAGGGCATTTCTGCCTGCTTGAAGTTCAGAAATTTAGGTGCAAAAAGGGAGCGGGTATTAAGCTGGGCAACTGTCAGAGAAGCCGCGCGCCTCCTCGGATCTTGTCACTACCACTCTAGACCGAGGGAGGGAACCCAGTCCCCCCGGATTGAAAACAAGGCACTGTTCGCATTCTGAGACACAGAGTGATGGTTTTCTTTTTCCTCTAGGGGCAGGAGTGGTTCCCTGTGGTAAAATCTGACCTCTCATTTTTCCACTAGCAGCCTGTGAGACGTCTTTCATAGAGCACCCGCCTCGTACAGACATCAGACCAGTCTAGCCAGGTCAAGGTGAAATATGTGGGAGTTTCCCCTCCTTCTTATTTGTTTAATAGTTTCCATCTCCATATTTGGAGTAAAAAAACAAGTAGGAGGCTTTCTCTCTTTCTCTCTTTTTTTTCTGTTTTCTAATTGTTAACCGAGTGAATGGAAAGTACCTGGTTAATAAGCCACAGCATTGAAAACTCCCCCTTTTCAGGTGTGGACTGCACATTGGGACCCACAGAATTAGCTAAGCAAACCCAGAACCCAGCTGGGAAATTAAAATTGCCCTAGATCTACAAAGGGGGTCCTTTTGAGAGACCGAATGAATGATCCAAACCCGAAAAAATAATCCTTGTAAACACAATTCACCATAGGCAATGTACTCTAAATAGATAGAATTAAATCTAGCCCAGCTTCATAACTTATTTTCTTTCTTTAGTTACAAGTTTGAACAGCTCTGGTTTTGCTTTAGGTGATTGTAAAGGAAAGGCCTGGAAACGGGCTGGGATGGTATGAAGACGTTAAATTTGAACATAAAAGGAGCATATTCTAACTCCCATGAATCATTCTTCAGTGGGGGAGCATGTGTATTTTCCAGAGAGTATTTCACAGTCCCAAGGAATGTAGCCAGCATTGAGACCGTGTAGTGCTACAATGACGAGAAAAAGTCAGTTCGTAACCCCTGTAAGGAAGTGTGTATAGGTGCACTCTGCACTGTAAAGTGACTATCACATCAGCATTATATGACATACTTAATAATCTAATTCTTCGTGTTGGAAATGGAAATGGAAATTAGAATATTAAATGAAATATAAATGTATGTAAATAATGGGCATAGTTTTGTGACATTAAAGAGGTATGCACTAAGTTTTAACTCTCTCTCTATATCTTCTTTAATGTATGGTGGGGTTACATGCTCATAAATCCATAATAAGTTGAAACTACTGTGAGTTGGAAATGCATCAATGCACCTAACCTGAATGTCACAGCTTGGCCTAGCCTACCTTAATTAAACAGGCTCAGAACTTGTACATTCGCCTGCAGTTGTGCGATACCATGTGACACAAAGCCTGTTTTATAATAAAGTATGGATCATCTCATCCAACCTATTGAATACTGTATTGAGAGTGAGAAGAATGGTCATATGGGTACAGAATGGTGGTAGGTATATTGGCTGTTTACCGTTGTGGTTGTGTGGCTGACTGGGAACAGCAGCCCGCTGGTGCTGCCGGCATGAGAGGTACGTATCCTACCACATGTCACTAGCCTGGGAAAAGATCTGAATATGGTTTCTACTGAACTCATATCACTTTTGCACTATTGTAAGGCCAGAAAATTTTAAGTCAAACCATCGTTAAGTCAGGGACTGCCGGTGTTGTTAGATGGCTAGATATTTTATATGCTAGGCCAAAAGAACTGTGTAGCAAGAGGAACAAAATAAAGTTTGTAAATTTGTTGCAGGAGATTTTGAAGTCATTTAAAAAGAAAGACTTCCATGTTTTGTTATATGAAACCCATGCAAATATATATCAAGATGTCAGTTTTATGGAGTTGTTGAAGAGTAATATCAGTGCCATTTATCAACACTTCCTATTTGTAAAGAGGTTATAATTCTGGTTATCAAAATAAAATAAAACAGTATCCCAGCTGAGACCGGGATCCTAGCAGGTTATTTACAAACAAGTTAAATGTACATTCTGGGCTATACATATATAAGTGAATTCTCCTGAGTCCTGCAAATCATTTGTAGGATTTTCTTTCAATAAGAATAATTAGGGCCCAGGCACAAATTTTGCTTATTTCCAATAAGTACCATTGGTCAACCACAACTTAATCCTTTTTTTTCTATAATAAAATATACAAGATACTGTGAAGAAGTAGAGTATTGTTACCTTTATCATGTTGCCTGAAGGCTTCTAACAGAGGAAAAAAAGTTCCAGAAGATAGTCAGTTGATTAATTCCTGTTTCTAGCATGTTCTGCTGTCTTGCTTTGAAATTTATGATGGCTAATTTTTCATCATTTGTGGTAATGAGAGCAAATGAAATTCACAGATAGTCTAAAAATATCATTTTAGCTATTCATTCCAGTCTTCCTATCATCAGATTCTTTTAGTTGCTAAAAGTCATAAAATTAGATGAATTCAGTTTCTTCCCTGCTCCTTTGATTTCTAGCAATGAATAGGCTATGGATGGATAGCAACAGTGAGAGACCTAGGAGAGACTGCTTCTTTTGTGTTCCACCTTTGACTAGATTTTGTCCAAGTTATTGACCTCATGGTTACAGTTAAACCACATACATATTTTAATATTATATCTTTCTGAAGTTAGGATCAGATGTTCAGTATGTTTTAAGCAGAAGTTCACAAGTTATCTATGAGCTTGCTTCATCTACAGCTCTTAGGAGATGATGAATGATCCAGTAAGTGGGATGTATTGTTGTAACCATGTCTTCTAGCGTCTTCCAATGATGTACTGCAAGACAGTTTTCACTGAAATATTCCATAAGGTAGTGTTACTCATACTGAGAACTGAAGACTGCCTACAACATGATTACCTACCAAGTGATTCCTTAGTTCTATTCCAGGAGATTCTGAATTCACAGATCTGGTGTGGTATCCAGCAGTATTTATTATTATAAGATCCTCAAATGATTTTTCATGCAATGAGGTTTAGGAACCTCTGCCATAATGCATTAATACAGAAACTCCTCAAAGGCCTCACGTGTGCTTATAGACAAACTCCAGTGTCAGAGGCAAAGCCAAAGACACAAGAATTTCTGGCGCCAATGACTCTTCTCAAGGTATTCTATGGATGATTAACTCTATGAGATGTTAGTGTTTTCAGAAACAGACTTACACGACT